TCCCCATTTGCTTTCAATTTGTCCTGGCTTAGTTAAGTCCTCACCCCATACCGCCAAATATAGAAGACCAATTCTATTTTCCTTACCTTAACCATAGGGTAATTTCATTATATATGTGCATGTATGTGTTTCTCATATTAAATCTTTGGGAGTGTGTTGGATTTACCCTTCAGCTTCCTAAAGGTATTTGTGATATGAAATATCCTTCTTAAGGCCTGTTTTATATGTTTACAGACGTTAGTGCAATTCTTTTCATAGCTTTGGATGAAAAGAAAATCAGTAGGGATTAAGGAATAGAAGCGGACCTCTGAAGCTATTTTTAACTTGGTGTCTAAAGAAAAATGGTTTGTCTCGGAAATGACAATGAGCATGCGTTTGTTAAGTGTCATAGGAACTTCAGTCTTACTTGGCAGTCAATGGTTGATCAGAGATGAGATGGTGAACCTCTGTCCTGTACCATGACATAGTCTGTTTGAATGAATTAGAGAATTGCTACATGCTTTGGCGTGTGTGTGTGTGTGTGTGTGTGTGTATGTGTGTGTGTGTGAGAGAGAGAGAGAGAAGTAAAAGAAAGTGTGTCTCTGTCTGTGTGTGTGTGTTGGTGCGAGGGAGATGGTAATACTGATGAAGAGAAGACAATTGTGTTCGGAGTCACGTTTTCTTTTCATCAGTGAGTGGTAAATTCTCTGGAGCAGGAAGAACAGCTAATCCTTGGATGAAATCTGTACTCAAAATTGTTAAGTGAATGAACTGAGAGAGGTATTTTTATAAAAACTAAGAATAATATAAGCATATATATTTTTAATTTAGGTGGAAAGAAAATAGTTGGTGGAAACAATAAATTCTATCTAAAGGTTGTTTAGGCAAAAGGCTTATCCTGGACTCCTTTGTGAAACAGGTAAACAGTTAATAAGACAACTGAATCAGTGAGACTTTTCTCTTCTTAACGGAAGTGTCTCGGAGTCCCATCTACTGGTGTCAGTTAACATTCATGTCTTCATTTTCTCAGCTGCCATTTGTCACTTAATCACAGATCCCGGGTGTTTTAGCTCAGCATTTTCGGGGCAGGGGAGAAATGCTGTCATTTCTTGTTTTTTCATAAATGAAGGTGAGAGAGATGTCTAAGTTTCCCCCCCC